AATGGAGAAATTATTGCAGTTCTACATTAAACCCTGTAGAAATATGTAATATAGTGTATGTAACACTGTAATGACTGAGGTCCAGCAGGACTGAGGCTGTGTGGGAGCTGCTGCTCATAAATACTCAGTTCACTTTACAGGTGAGTGATGAGACCAGGTGTGTGTCTGACAGGTCCTACGCTCTCACTCACACATATATGAAGCAGGTGTGTGAAATGTGTCACGCTCTCACCGTTACACAACTTCACTCACATGTGAGGCTTCCAACAAGACACGCACAGGTCTCCTCCTCCTCCTCCTCCTCCTCCTCCTTCACTGATGAAGACATGAGAGGGAAGTGCTCCTGGCTGTTGGCAGTATCTCATGATGACATCCACACAGATGTCTTTGTCTCTGTCATGTTGACCAGCCAACCAAGACAATGAGGCACATCTGGAACACATCAGTTTGTGCGTGTTGTTGTCTGTGAGCAGGATCATTTCCTGTGACTGACACTCTCTCTCTGAGCCGTGTGCAGGTAGCCTGTCGTTAAATTCCTCAGGATTAACGAGCATCTTGTCAGAGGCCTCTCTTTGTGGAGGCGAGCGCTGGTTACCAGGCACGTGGACGTGGAGACAGCAGACACATGACGGACACAAAGACTCTAAAGAGGGACAGGGGCTTGGACGAGCGCAGCGTCGCACGCGAGGGAGCGGGAAGCTTCCTGTTAACATGCATAAACATCAAGTTAACAACAGTATCCAGGGGACAGAGAGGGAGGGGTGTGGGCAGCAGGAGGAGAGGAGGGAGGACGCTGGAGAGAATGTGCTTTTTCCTCCACTGTGCACAAATTTGGCAGCTGAACACTTACATAACCCAACACATTCTAACTGCACATGCACAACACAGGGCCAGAGCCGGAGCCTCCCTACAGCACCAGACTGAGACAATAACCAGATTATTGTTTACCTGCTGATTAACACATGCTTCTTCTTCTCCTCCTCACGTGTCGGCGTCTTTGCTGCGGTCACGTGACGCTGCAGAGAGCCTATCAGACAACGCGTCTGCCTTCAGCAGCCGAGCCAAACAGCTGCACAGGAGGATGTGGTGGAGAGACATGAAGGTGTGTGACACTGTCTCATTCATTATCTCTGATGTTGTTCTGTCCGGTGTCGGACGGGAGGAGTGGCTGTAACATGTCATTTCTTCCACAGATGAAGATGATCATCGCCTTGGTCGTGGTCGCTCTCCTGCTCATCATCATCAGTGAGTGTCAGACTCAACAGCCCAGCACCGTCTGAGTTCACATCCTCCTCCCTCTAAATATTCCCTCTTCTCGTCTCTTTCAGTTCCAGTGATCCTGCGATATCGCTAATGTCCGACGAGGAGGATGAGGGAGAACCCCGCTCTACCTCTTCTTCCTCTTCTTCCTCTCTCTCTCTCTATATATCTCACTCTGTCTCTCCTCTGCACACAGTCCTCCACTTCAGCTAGGGGGTGCCAGTCGACCTCCCACACCCTCCTCAGTACCGGCCTGTGTACCCTCAAAGATCTGGCCTCCACTCGCCCTCAGTACAGATCTTACTGTGGGTGTTCCCGCTGAAACCTGCTCTGAGATCAGTTCTGAGGCTTGGTTTGAGCGGGAACACGGCGGGTGAGAAACGGGGAGATGTTTGAAATGCAGTTTAGGAGAAAACGCTGACTCTCAGCTCTCTAGTCAACGTGAAGGAGCGGTCCGTTCCATGACACATGTCACGTCGGGCCGCGGCTCTGCTCTGACAGCAGGTCCTGTATGTTGCATCATATAGATCGATACTGTAAAGAAAGTTTAGCCTCATGTAAAGACGCTGTAACATCCACTGGATGAAGCTCAGATGTCTCCAGGGTTCCTCCTGCGCTCTCCTGCAGGACGATGAGGACGTTTAAAGGGAACATTTCTCTGTCTGACAGGAGCGAGGGAACATCTGAGGTTCATCTGCTGCGTCGCTTTTAATCATCAAAAAAGTCTCTGACAGAAAACTGATTTCACTCATCAGATCCGTTTCCTCCTCTGCTCAGAGGGTTGGAGAAAGGACGAGAAAGGAGCTGCTTTCTAACATTATTCTCACTCCATTCATTTCCCCTCCCACCGGCCTCCTGACGGCGTGTTGCGCCGCACAGCACGACCACTTTAAACCAAAACATCCAGGTTATGAATGTCTCCTCCCACGCTGCACCCTGAGCCCCTCAGCCTCCTCCTCACTGGTGCTGAGCTCTGGGCCGGTTTGGTCACGGCTGTCCTACTTCCCTGCTTGTGACATTAAACTGTCTCTCACTCTGCAGAAGGTTTTAATACCGCTTCTTTTTCTCACTGTTTCTAAGTTCTCATTCTGCTGGTCGCTCTCCGTGGTGCTTCGTTTGAACGCTGGTGTTCCCGTCGCCGCGGACGGGACACGTGATCTCTCTGTACTGTCACATCATGTTTATAGAGGGGTGATGTCAGTGATGCAAGCTGTGAAACAAACATACTGTAGGTGTCATTGTGTCTGGATTAATTAACTGTATAATACAACTGTCATTTTATTTGAATGTAATTTATTTTAGCTGTAAATATTGATTCTGTAATGATGTACAATATTCTGGCATTGCATTGGAAGACTGATATATTGATTCTTTTTGCTCTGAAATAAAGTGATTTTAAAGGGCAGTGGTTTTAAAGCTCCATGTTTCTTCTTCTTCTGTGTTTTATTTGAAGTGTTGATCCAGAAGAACATATATTAAAAATCATCTCAGTGTAGTTTTACATCTCCTCTCTCAGGCTTCTCTCTGCAGCTCTAGTAACAACAGGTCTGTGAGCCAATCAGAAGAGAGGAGGCTCTGAGCCTCTCTTCTGATTGGCTGACTGTTTTCTGACTGATCCAATAAAAATATAGCAGATTTCAGGTAAAAACACTCAGAGAAACCAAATCCTGCAAGGTTTGGATGGTGGGTCCAGGTGGGCGGGGCTTGGCGACTGCTTTGTTGTGACATCACAAAGTTCCAGAAGTCCTGACGGCTGGTTTTAAGGCTCAGTTTCTGAATACAGGCTGTGTGCATTTATCTGTGGACTGAGGCTTTGATACTTTCACAGTATTAATATAGAAGCTAGAGCTGATCTATAATCACACTACACATGGACACAGACCGTCACACTGGAGAGGCTTTAAGAGACTCGCAGAAGAAGAATCAGTGGAAAACTAAACAGAGAGAAGAGAGAGGGGTTGATGGAAAGAAAGATGACTGGAGGTGAAGAGGGAGAACCTGATGGCCATCTCTCCGCTCTCAGAGCTCCTGAGACAGGAGACAAAAACACTCACTGACGGCTCTGTCCTCTGTCCTCTGTCCTCTGGCAGCACAGTGACGTTAAACTGTCCCACAAGAATCTCTGACTTCATTGACCTATGGCAGATGGCCCCAGCCTTCATTCAGTACTGGGGGGGGGTACACTCCTGTTTGAGTTTTGATAAAGCCTGCACACCATTGGTCGGTTCCTGAGTCCTGCTCAATTGCAGTAAAGTAAAAGGCTGTAAAGTTGTGAGTGAAGCTGTAAAAAGCTCGTTTCCTGGGGGACTCCAGGTTTGACTTTGTCTCTTTGTCTGTGCTTTAATGCACTGGGAGACATTTTCTGTCCTCCCTGTCCTCGCAGACACACCACCACTGGCAGCAGAGGATGTTTTGCTCCTCAGTTAGGGGCTCGACTGGATGACTTCAGATTCCGGGCATGGCCGTGGTTTCATGAGTCATAAGAGTGAAACTGATGGAGGAGAGCGTCCGGCAGCATCAGTCACAGCCGCAGACATGTCTGACAAATCTGACAGCGTCAACACACTGATGTTTTTAACCCCCCCCCCATATGTGTTTACATGTGGGTTCACTCATGTTAATCTTTCATGTGTCACCTTCCTCCCTCCTCAGTCATCCGTCCCTCCATCTGCCGACCAATCACACGTCTGTCTCAACCTGCAGGAGGGGGCGTAGCTTCTACAGTCTACGCACTTCACCTTGTGCCCCTGTCCCCTCTGCACCCTCTGCCCTCTGACCTCCCTGGGGGGAGAGGGGGGGGGCAGGTCAGCAGAGAAGGATGAAGATACACAGAAGAAGAGAAGGAG